GCCTGGGATCGCCCGCCTGCCCAGGGCGGCTCCCTGAGCCCGATCGGGGCTCTCCATACAACCTGGTGCGTGTCACTACCGTGGGACTTTGCCTCCCGTCTCCCCCACGACTGTACGGTGTGTGTCTCTACCCCACCTGTCCCCCTGGCCTCACAGCCCCGGTCTGGTCCACCCACCGAACACCTGCTGAAGGATGGGGCAGAGAGCACAGGACCCGGTGGCCAGGAAACCGCGGCGAGAGGCTGTGTGACTTCAGGCAGGCGGCTGATCCTCTCTGGGCCTCTTCCAAACCTCAACTTAAGTCCGAATATCCAGTTCCATCTAAAGGATTGGCCTCCCACTTCCGGAGTCTACAAGGACGAATTTAAGGGACCAGCTGAAGGGCTGTCCTAGGCTCTGGGAGTCGCTGACTCAGTTACACCCGAAGCCAGCTGCTCTGGATTACACTGTCACATGTCCACACTGCGGGCTCCCAGACGTCGCCGAGGTGCACTGAGCCCGATCAGATTTCTTATTCAATAAAGTCTTTTATTCTAGTTTACAGATTTTTCCATTACAATAATGAAAATAGCACTAGTGATTTGTGACACGTAGGCCCAAACCAAAGGGGAGCCCCTCCTGAAATGGCAGGGGATGATGGCAGTTGGACGGAGAGTGGATGTGGGTAAAGGCATTTAAAGTAGAGGTGACGGGGCAGATTCCGCGTGTGCAACCAACCAAGGTCTCGCTTCTCAGGATGACACCGTTCTAGAAAGCGCATGATTCTGAAAACTAGATTTATAATTATGATAAAACTCAACTGTAGAGAAAGGCAAAATCAAGCAAAACCCCCAGAAAACCTGGAGGAACTGAGTCAGATGCAGGGTCGCTGTGCAAAGCTCCTGTCCCCTGGGCTGGGATGGTGAGTGTGGGTTTCATAGAAATTCTCCAGAGGAAGGAGGGCCTGGGCCCGGCGTTGCCGTGGCCCGTGTCTGACATCACTGTGTCTCCACGTCCTGTTTCCTCACGGAGGAAAAGAAGTCGCCTGTCCGACAGGTCCGGGCCGCGGCCCCTGCTCCCAATCCCTTTGGGAGCGGTCCTGGTCCCTCAGAAGTCAAGGCCTCCCCGCGGGCCGGGCTGGGGTGGCCGGATGTCAGTGTCGGGGCCAGGCCCTGCCGGAGCTGTCTGAGTGGTTTATCGGGAGCGGGTGGGCCTCGGTATTGAACACCCAGTCTTCCAGGGAGAGAACGTCATCTTCAGAGAACAGAAGATAGAGATACCTGTGCCCGGGCAGGTGGGGAGAAGGACGCAGCGGTCAGTGCCCTGCGCAGGGTGGGCTGTAGGGCAGAGGCCAGCGCACAGGGAGGGCCTGAGCCCCCCACCTGCGTGGAGAGCTGCAACGGGGTGCCAAGGGGACACTGAGGGACCTGCTCCACAGCCCTGCCCCCAACCCCTACTTGAACTGCGACCCCACATCCAGCCGGCCTCCCCTGCCTGACCCCGCTAGGACCCCCTCCGGCCAGCTTGTCTGCCCTTGGGGGGCGGCCGGAGCACCATGCCCAGTCCGAACTCGGCTGGCCGCCCTGACCCGGCCCGCACTTGAGCGACCCAGGTGCGATCACAGGCTTTTTACCGGAGGGAGCTGACGCCTCCAGCCCGGCCTCCAGGGTTAAGGCATCCGGGGCCTACGAGGAAGTGGGGTATGGATGTCCTGCCCCAGGACGCGTGGGAGCCACACCCAGCGGCACCGCGGAGGCCCTGACCGGCAGCTGCGCCCTGGTCAGCGTCGCCGCCGTGGGTGCTTTTCCCGTTCATAGATGAGGACCTCGCGTCAGGGTGGCCGGTCACCCGAGGCGCCGGTGGGACAGGAGTGACCTGCGTGGTGCTCAGGGCCCAGCTGGGTCCCCAGCCCGGTCTCACCGAGGGGAGAGACTGACCGGGCCCCGGCTCACCTGGGCGTTGCCCCCAATGGCACACATGCAGTGACCACAGACCCCGACTGCTGGTGACGCGGGGACTGCCGACCCCACCCCAGGGAAGGCCAGCAGCACCCAAGTCCCGACTCACTTCAGCGTTTCCGCCAGGAAGAAACTCTGCTGCTTGTTGTCGTGGTTGGGGAGGCTGCTGTACACGTCCTGGATCCCCGAGAAGCCGGCCTCCGTCCGGCAGTGCGTCTCCAGGGCCTAGGGAGGAAGCAGACAGTGCCGGAGAGGGAAGGCCCCTGGTCTCATGCCTGCCTGGTGGGCCACACTGTTCTTCCAGGGATCAACTGCCAGGTCCCCGGGCTGGAGAGCCTCCTCCCTGCACCCCTTGAGCATTCGGTCCTGCCCTGAGCCTCGAGGAAGCTTCTCTGCCTGAAGGGGCCGGACTGATCTGGTGGGCTGACCCAGTGTGGACAGAGGTCAAGGCAGGCCACTGGTGCTGCCCGAGGCTGGAACTCAGGAAGGGAGCCTGGACACCCAGAGTCTACAGAGGCGGGTCCCTGGCTGGGCAAGAACAAGGGCCTAGGACAGCCCATGCCTGAGAGCTGGTGGCGTCTGGTCAGTGTACAAGTGGCCCTGAGGTTGAGGGGAAGGGGGTCAGGGAGGCCTCAGCACCCATCAGGGAGCCTTCTGGAACCTCCACGGCTGCCGTGAACACCCGCCCAGTTTCCAGCTTGGATTCTGGGGCCGGGGGCCGCCTGGGTGGGGCTGCTGCCCGGCAGGTGCTTCCTGGCTGATGGCAGTCACCGGCCGTCTGCCCAGCTGGGGCCAGGAAAGCACGTGCGGGACCAGCAGTGGCCACTGCTCCAGGCAGCTCAGGCGCGGTCTGCTGACACCGGAGCCCAGGCCCCCAAGGCGCGGGCACCCTGGGCCTGGCTGTGAATGGTCGGGGCCCTCCGGGCAGCCCCGGCCCGGCACACTCACCATCACCACCTCCCAGCCCCACTCCCTGTAGATGGGGTCGTGCGTCTGCCGCCACAGGTACATGTAGCTCTCCACCACCTCGGGCCGCAGGATGTAGTAGCTCTCGCTCAGCTGCGTGGCCACCGCCTCTCTGCCGGAGTTAAACCAGAAGGCCTCGGGCCCCAGCTTGGTGTCTGTGGGGGTGACCGCGCAGAGGGCCTGGGTCAGACCCCACCTGCTGTCAGGACACTGAGCTGCCTGGAAGGCCTCCAGGGCCCACCCAGACTGCCCAGCACGGCGGCCCTGGACAGGCACAGCTGACTGCGCGGCCAAGGCCAGCCAGGCGAGACCCTCACGGCCTTGGACCCGCACAGGCCCGAACTCCGAGCCTGAACCAGCGGCTCAGCAGCCTGGGGAGATGGGTCTGGGCACTGTCCCCAGCTGTGTGTTTCCATAAGAGCTCTACACCTGAGCCAGAAGCCAGCCAAAGAGGCTTCCGGGCGAAGCACATTCAGAGCCAGTGGGTTAAACGCAGGGACGCGGTCCCGCGTCCGCAGGACTTCTCAGGCCTTTTTTGTTTCTAAGGTTTTGGCATAGAATGTGTGTGCTTGCCGGAGAGAGACAGAGACAGGGGGAAGGTGAGAGATGATCCCGAAGTGAGACGGCCACGCCAATCCTCTCCATTCTACGCCTGGGATGTTGGGCACACACATGCACACGTGCCTGGAATGACCAAGTAGCCAGGCCTGGGACGTGAACCGTGATTGGCCACGTGGGAGTCCAGTGCCTTAACCGCTGTGCGGGTCCCTGAATACACTATTGTGTAATGATGCTTCCCCCACAGACACTCTTATTTTTATTTTTTGAGAGCTTTTTGCTACAAGGTGCATGCGCTTGCCGGAGAGACAGAGAGAAAGCGTGAAATCTCCCCAGGGGGGTGACCACGCCGCAATCCCTTCTCCTCCGTTCTTTGCTCAGGATCTTGGGCACGCACGCACATGGGCCCAGCTTGAGTTTCAAGCTGCCAGGTCCAGGACTAGAACTGCATTTGACTATGTGGGAGTCCAGTGCTTTAACCACTACACCGTCTGCTGGTCCGTAGGCCCTCTTTTTAAAAAGGGAACTGCTGCTGGGGAGAGCAGGTGGCATGGTGGTTAAGGCACTGGACTCCCACATGGCTGACGGGACATGCATGCCTTAGAGCAAATCAATCAATCAAAAAAAAAAAAAAGAGAGAGAGAAAAGAAGGAAGCGCTGTGAACCCTCCCAGCCTTCCAGAGCCAACGGCTTGGACGTGCCAGTCCGGTCACACCTGCTCATACCGGGGCTCCGCTGTGTTTGGTTTAGTTTTGGACAATCTGCTGCCATTTTTGTTTTCTGTGTGACCATAATTGCACGCGTCACCACAGCCACCATTTCCGATTTTAAGGACGGTGCTGGGTGCTCTACATGTATCATTTCAACCGTGAGACGTGCAGGTCTGTTAGGCAGGTGCTACGGGGCTCCTTCCACCTGTGGAAACCGAGGGTCAGGGAGACCGAAGAAGGCGTCCAAGGTAACGCGGCGGTCACGGCTGGGCTGGGACGCGAACCCTGCGTCTGTCTGACGCCTTTCCCCGGCTGTGCTCGGCCCCTCCCACGGGGGTGACTCCAGCTCCAGAGCTTAGACTACGTGGGCCACACCTCACTCACTAAGGCGTCACACCCTGTCCAGGTCGGCCGAACACCCAGCTCTGTCCTGTGAGCTGTCCTGTATCCTCAGGGCTCAGAACCTGAGAGGCCCCAGCTCGCTTTGCCAGCTGGGCTGGAGCTTCGGAGAACACTGTCTCCCATGGAGGGCTTCGCGGAAGAGGAATCGGCTGGACCCTGGCCTCCGGTCTTTTCAGCGGCCGGTGGCTTCTGGCAGTCAGAGCCATCGTTGTGCCGACGGCTAATGGCGTGAGGGCCAGAGCGCCTGCCACAGCCGTCGGCGGGACAATCCGGCCGGCAGCGACAATACGCTCCATTAAGCGGCTGTCGTTTACGGTCTGGGCTGATTGTCCCAGACAAATAGCAAGCTTTTTATTATTCCCGAGATTTCCTATTTGTTTATGGCCTGGCAGAGCGAGCTCACTGAAGAGAACGGAAGACCAGTTGTAAGGACCTGCTGCGATCTCTGGCTTCCTGGAAACAGCTCCGGGAGAACCGGACTGAACCGGAGCGTGGACACGCTGTGGCCAGCGCAGGCCTCTCTGGCCCTGTGTGAAGGCGGCTGCCCCTTCCGCTGCACTCTGGGAAACCCACCAGGACGCCGGGCTGGTGGGGCAGAGTGACGCGTGGGTGGGGGACTTCTGCACATCTTGGGTCCCCTCCTCCAGCCACGTCTGGGGTGGCAGCTCTGAGCAGCAGCCTCTCCTGGGCTGTGGGAGCCGTTTAGAACCGGGGACCAGAGACCTGGCCCAGCCCCGGCCCGGCTACTCATGCGCAGTACGACTGGGTGCACACTTCCCCGCTCTGGGCTGACTCAGTCTGTGTGTGTAAAACGAGGAACTGGGGGCAGCACGGGGGCCCAGTTACCGTGCAGCGTGTGGCCAGCCAGACCCACATGGGAAGGCTCTGGGTTCTCGTCTGGGGGCCTTCCTGAGTCTGCCGGCGGCGATCCAGGGCTGGCTGCTGGGGTGGATCCCAGCACAAAGGCCCATGGTCGTGCCCACCTCTCATTCAGGAAATAAAGAAACTTAAAACATTAAACGAGGAGTGGGCCCATCTCTTTACCATGGCTCTGCCTGCTGCGGGGGATCGGAGGTCAGAGAGGCTGGTGGTGCAGGTGGACTCGTGGAGAGGTCCTGGGGAGGGCAGAGGGCGTCTGGGAGCAGGGGACCCAGTAAGAGGACGTTAACACTGCCTCGGGGGCCGCGGGACCCCTGACTCCGCATCCCTCGGGGAGGTGCCCAAGTCTCCTCTGGGTCTATTTCCCCACCTGTGCATAGTGGCAAGGGTCCGACAGCAGCTGGCACCCACAGTGCTTGGTGTATCTTCCCTCGCTCCCTTAACTTGGGGTGCAACCTTGGAGTCTGAGGGCACACCCCCACTCAGTGCCTGCATACTCCTATGAGGAGGCTCCCCGACACGGGCCTCGCTCGCTGGCGCTCTGTCCTTCCCCACGTCCCCAGTGCCCAGCCTCAGCCCCGCTGCCACCCCGACCCCCGGGTTACCTGAGCGGGCGTAGGACTCGTGGCACGTCTTGGTGATCTGGGCTGCGAGCTCGCGGTAGTGGGCTCTCTTCTCTTCCTTGGCATCCTCAGCGCCCAGGGCAATCATGCCCCCGGAGAAACAGGCCAGGTGCCCCATCTTGTGGTCCAGGATGCCCCCTCGCCACTCGGCAATGTAGGTCAGGCCCCCCGGAGAGACGTTCAGCAAGTAGGTCTCTATGGCCTGGGGTCAGGGTGGGCGTGGGCAGGGGAGAGCGTGGGAGGGCACAGAGAGGGGAGGGGGCGGGAAGTGAGCATTCTGGAGACAGCAGCAGGCGCGGCTCTGCCCAGCCCCATGTCCAGGCCACCCAACCACCACTGAGGCCCGAGGGCTGCTGGGAGGCTCCTAATCGCCCCAGTCTCTTACACGGCCGTGAGTCTTCTTCCTGGGGGGGGGGTTTGCTATAGGGCACGTGCGCTCGCCAGAAAGAGAGAGAGAGAGACAGAAATCAGCCCCCCAGGGGGGATGGCCACGTCACAATCCCTTCTCCTCCATTCTCTCAGGATCTTGGGCACGCACGTACACAGCGTGAGTTTAAGCCACCGGTCTGGGGCTCAAATCGTGGTTGACTACATGGGAGTCCAGTGACATAGCTATTATGCCAACTGCTGGTCCCGAGTCTCCTACATTTTAGGAAACATGTAAATCAACTCTTCTAAGAAGAGTAATGCCCTCCACTGCGTCCTCTCTTAGGAAATCTTAGCTGGAAGCCCCGCTGGCCTGCAGAAGGGCCGCTAAAATGCCTCCCGCTGGTGTGGGTGTGCGTCTTCGCGCCTTCGGTTGGGATTCTTGGGAAGGGCCTGCAGAAAGCTCAGAGCTGCTCTCCACGGTCTCTGTCACACAAACCCCTTAGTGCCCACAATGCGCACGGGCCGTGGCACCCTACGTGGACACGGGGTGGAGTGGCCTGTCCTGAGTCGCCCCGCCACACCTGCACGAGGATCAGGACCTCGGATGCCAGAGCTCTGCCCCTCGCACACCCGACAGCCTCTGCCCTTGGCAGGAAGGGGCTCCCAGGGAGGGGCTGTCGGGCATGAGGTCATCCTGTGCCCACGCCCAGGCTGTTGTCCCCAGAGCTTGGACACCAAGATGACGGAAGCAGCCGCTCCCCGCCACGAGGCCATTCCCCATGGGCTGGAGGGACCTGGCACAGTGGGGAGCCCTGGGACCCGCCCAGGCCCGGCTGCACGCTTATCCCTCCAACCCATCCTGCACGGGGGGTCTCTGCACCCTGTAAATGACGACTTAGGTCACACTGCGGCCCGCTTCAAACCTTCAGTGGTGTCACTTGCCCTTAGAGCGAAGTCCAGCAGGGCCTCCCGGCTCTACCCTCTGGACCGAGGCTTCACCTGACCTACTGCCATGACCCCTAAGCACAGACCCCTGGGGTCCAGATCCCACCCAGGTCCCAGCTGTGTGACACTGGGGGGTTGAAAGTGCTCTCCGTGCCTCAGTCCCCCTGTATGAAGTGGGGCAGTGGCGCCAGCTCCCCCACAGGGCGTCAGAACTGGCCAAGGTGGCCCGTTTCCCAGCACGGCCCAGCACAGCTGGCTACTAGAATTCCTGTCCAGGACTCCCCTGCCCTCCCCGGCCACCTGTGCCTCAGTTCACAGACGTCCCTCCCACTTCAAATACTCTGCGAGCCACTGGTTGTCTCCTCACGCCAGGCCTGGGCACGGGGACACGGCCGTGCACGGACAGGCCTGGGTGCGGGGACACGGCCGTGCACGCGCAGGCCTGGGTGTGGGGGCACAGGCATGCACGGACAGGCCTGGGCGCGGGGACACAGCTGTGCACAGACAGGCCTGGGCGTGGGGACACGGCTGTGCACAGACAGGCCTGGGTGTGGGGACACGGCTGTGCACAGACAGGCCTGGGCACGAGGACATGGCCGGGGCGTGTCAGGCCCGCAGGCCTGGGCACGAGGACATGGCTGTGCATGTGCAGGCCTGGGCGCTGGGGACACAGGCATGCATGGACAGGCCTGGGCGTGGGGACACGGCCGTACACGGACAGGCCTGGGCGCGGGGACACGGCAGTGCACGGACAGGCCTGGGCGTGGGGACACAGGTGTGCACGGACAGGCCTGGGCACGGGGACACAGGTGTGTAGACAGGCCTGGGCACGGGGACACGGCAGTGCACGGACAGGCCTGGGCGCGGGGACACGGCAGTGCATGCACAGGCCTGGACCTGCTTGGCCCGCTGTCAGTGCAGAGACTTCCCCACAATCAGACACTGGGTTACCATCTGCGATCGGCATTCAAATGTAATGAATTGAGGGGGCAAGATCAAAAGCTTTGGGGGGGTCTTCTCTGCAGGGTGAGGTCGGGTTGGACTCTGGGAAGGGTGCGGTTTCTCCGGCTCTGGGGGTTTGCTGGTGCCCATTCCCCCATCTACCCCCCACCCTCCGTCCTCCCGGCCTACTCCAGCTCCACTGGCACTGCCACCCTGCTCCTCTCAGCCCTGCTGTCAGCGCTGCCCCGCCTGGTGACACTGCTGTTGGATCTGTGTCCCCCAGGACTCCCTGGCGCCGTGTGACGGCAGGAGCCATCCAACTGGTGCCCGGCATATGGATGCTGCTCACACAATACCCGCCCCACAGTCTGCGTCTCCCTTCCCCCTGCAGGCAGGCCCAGGGCCAGCGGGCTGGCTGCAGGCCCTGCACAAGCAGATGGGAGTCACTGGCGGTGTGACCTGCCAGGGCACCTGCTCCCCGTGCGGGACACACAAGTCCTGTGGACCTGTCGGACCTGAGCTGGGGACTGGGGACCACTCTGGGCCCGGCCTGGCTCCTGGGCATAGCCGGTCCGGGCTGCACGGGGTCCTGGCAGCTTCTCTGCATGCTGCACGCAGGGCCGGAGGGCTGCCAAGGCGGGCCAGGCCCGATGCCTGCTTCAGTCAGCAGTTGCCAACGTTGAGAAGAGAACACAGACGTCAGGGCGAGCCCAGAGCTACCCCTGCACCCCGGGGACCTCTCACGGGCTCTCTCCTCTTGGGTTCAACCCCAAGCTAAGTAACTCAGTGAAGAGGAAATACCAACCAGGATTTCCTTGAAGATCCACTTGAGATGAGCAGACGCAAAGATTGGAAAGGAAAAAAGCAAAACAAAACAGGGCTTTCAAAACTGGGCGGAACGCGAGGACGGGTGAAGGTTTTCCACAGCAAGAGGCAGAGCCAAGAGCTTCCGGGGAAGCGGGAACCTGGGTCTGAGTCCCGGCTCCAGGATGGAAAGTGGGGTGACTCTGGGCAAGTGACGTCACTTTTCTGAAGACTCACTTTACTCATCTCTAAAGTGGGAGAATAAGCCCTGCGGATTAAAGGAGAGGGTAACCAGAGACTCGGGCCCAGTGCTCCTTGCCCCCAGGAGCCCGTCTGAGCACTGCTGGAGCCCTGGTCTCGGCTTGGGTGGCGGGAAAGTAGATTCAGAATCAGCCGGACCCGTGTCTGTGTCCTGGCTCTGACACTGGTTGCTGTGTGGCCTTGGGCCTTTCTGAGCCTGCTCCGTTGTCTGTGAGATGAGGCTAACTCAGATGAGGCGCTGGGCCAGCCGGGGGTACGGCGGCTAAGGTGCTGGATCTCACGGCACCAACTTGAAAAACACACAGGGAGGGGCCGGCAGGTGGTATGGCCGTTACGTCACTGGACTCCCGCATGGCCGACCGCAGTTTGCGTCCCAGCCCTGGTGGCTTCAGACTGAGGGGGCGGGGTGGTGGCTTGTGTGCACGTGGGCCCAAGATCCCAGGAGGAGAATGGAGAAGGGACTGCGGTGTGGCCACCTCACTTTCCTGCTCACTGTCCCTTTCTCTCTTCATCAGGAACATGTACCCTAAGGCAACCCCTAAAGCAAAAAAACCCTCTTAAAGTTAAAAAAAAAAAAGGAAAAATATACAGGAGGGGGCTGGGAGGCAGCGTGGTGGGTAAGGTGCCAGACTCCCACATGGCTGATTGCAGTTTGATCCCCGGACCTGGGAGCTTGCTTTCTTGCTTTCCCTTTCTCTCTCTCTCTGGTTAAATTGAAAAAAAAAAAAAAAAGGAATGAAATAAGTAAATAATTCTTTTTTTTTTTTTTGAGAGAGAGAGATTTTTACTATAGGATGTGTGCATTCACTGGAGAGACAGAGAGACAGAAAGTAAGAAATCATGCCCCAGGGAGGATGGCCATACTGCAACCCCTTCTCCTCCATTGTCTACTCGGGATCAAGGATACGCACGCACATGCCCCCAGCACGAGTTGGTCCAGGACTTGAACCATGGTCGACTACATGGGAGTTCCGTGACATAGCCATTACGCCAACTGCTGGTCCCAATAAGTAAATAATTCTTAAAGAGAAAGAAAGAAAAAAGAAAGAAAAGAGAAACACATGGAAATGCATAGTTCTGTTGGTGCTATTCAGATGACGCGAATATTGGCAGGAAGACTCCTGCTAAATTGCTTTTGTAATACTGAGGGTGTATTAGTACAAACGAATAAAATAGACACTCTATAAAAGAACAACAGAAGAAACAGAAAAGCACATGGAGCGTGTGCGTGTATGCACAAAACCCTGATGGGGGGGTGGAGAAGGGACTGCGGCTTGGCCCTTTTCCCCGGGCGGGGCTTTCTCACCTTCTCTTTCTGCTTCTCTCAGACATGCACACACGCCTTCAAGCAAATGTTAAAAAAGAGTCAGTGCTTAGAGCAGCTGCCCAGAAAAGGCCTGGCAATGAAAGCTGTCCCTGTCCGTCCTGTCCCTCCTCCTGTGACACTCAGGGATGCGCTGGTTGGGCCTGTCTGAGTCCTCCACGCCAACCCCAGCTGGACGCCGTCTAACCTGGGGTTTCCAACCCCAGCTGCGGACCGGAACAGCGTAGAAGCTTTAAAAAGCGCCAGCTATTCAATCGGCCTGGGTGAGGCCACCAAGCGATGCCAAGGTGCAGGCAGGAGGGACCCTGGTCGGCCCAGTTCCCACCCTGGCTGTGCTGCCTGGGAGCTTGAAAATGCTATCTCTGGACTCCACCCTGCCGTGCAGCCTGGACAGGGGGCCTTTACAACTCCCAGGGGACTTCCTACCTGACAGGTTGAGAGCCACCAGATCAGTCTTCAAAGCCAGGAACTTGCTCCTGGCCCAGCCTGCACCCAGGGTCAGGGCTGCCCGGGGCCCTTCCCGGGGAGAGCCAGGGCAGTTCAACCAAGCCTCCCAGGAAGCTTCCAGTTTGCTCAAATAATTCATGGCTGCGGCTTCCCTTGAAGCTGCCACTTCAGCTGCCCTGAGGGCACGGGCCCAAGCGCTCTCGTTAACTTGATGTTTACTCTGCGAGGAACAGCTAGCTACAGGGGACACTGGCTGCTGTCCCTTCTGCTGTGGCACTCAGCTAAAGCCCGGGTGGCAGGTGGAGAGGAGCCTGAGCCCGGGCTGGGGGAATCTCAGGAGCTGCTTCATGGCTGAGGTCTTCACGCTTGGGGTCCTGACAGGGAAGACTCAGCTCCAAGCCCACAGTTAAAGGGGCTGCAGCTCTGAAGGTCTGTTTCGGGGTGTGTGTGTGTGTGCGCGCGCGCGCGTGTGTGTGTGTGCGTGCGTGCGTGTGTTTTCTTTCTTTCTTTTTTCCCCAGAGGGCACGTGTGCTTGCCAGAGAGCAAGGGGAGCATGAGGGGAGTGGGAGAAAGTCTCGGCAGGGCATGGCCGCACAGCCATCCCTTCTCCGTTCTTCACCCTGCAGGGATTGTGGGCAGACACGCACATGTGCCTGGCATGTTTTTCAAGCCGCCAGGGCCCGGACTCCAACCACTGTTGGCATGTGGTACCTGGGTCCCTTAGCCAGTAGGCCATGTGGCCGGCCCCGTGGGCTTCTCTTGAGCACCACCACTTCTGAGCTGACCCTTGCGACCAGAGCACTTAGGAGGTCCCTGGAGCCACCAGAGTGCCCACGCTCGCCCACCCTGTACCAGCGTCCTCCACGTCCATCTCAGCTCCCCTCCGCTCGTCTGCTTGGCATTCATGCGTTCATTCATCTGTCCACAGAACGGCCACCGTGCGCCGACTCTGTGCCAGCACTGTTTTAGGGACAGCGGGG